TAAATATTCGTCTTATAAAACATCTAAATTTCATTAATTAGAGCGAAAAATTTTGTATCTTAAACATACAAGTTGAAACTTTACTAGAATTTTCGCAAAAATCAAACATAACTTTTTAGATATAGTCCTTGCGAAAAGTTTTCAGTTAAAAAAAAATTAAAAAGAGAAGCGCGATATCAAGGTGAATCATTTAGAATTTTGTATTAATTAACTAAAATAAAATGATACTTAATCGATCATTTTAATTTCGTTGATAAACAATCTGATCATAGTAAAAAAAATACTAATATTGCTAACATAGTTTTGATCACTTAATTGAGTTATCACACTAGTACGTACGTATACGTACAATTAGGGTGTGCAACGGGCCGGGACAAACCCAGAAATTTGCGGGTTGGGTTGGGCTTGAGCTGAGCCTGGGCTCAAATTTTTAAGCCCGTGATTAATTGTGCCGGGTTTGAGCCGGGCTTGTAAAATAATGGCCTGGGACCGGGTATTATAAAGAGGCTCGATAAGGCCCGGTAATACCCATTAAAATATACAGTGCCTATTGGTCACAGGCTATTATGTGTTTACAGCTTTCATATAATACCGTAATAAATAAAATTACAAAATTGTACGTATACGTACGTAACTTATACATTAAATAGCTAATAATGCATTGTCACATTATTATTATGAAGGTTTTACCAGCACTACTAGACTTTATGTGCCAATTCTATGAAATTTTTGGTCGACGCTATTTTCATACAAAAACTACATACAAAAATTACATTCCAGAAACGTACAGTACAGTACATATAAAATTACTTATATAAAAGATATGATACTTGTTCTGCAGATAATTTTAATATTATAAAATGTAAACACGTTTAATACTATTAAATTTTCATTTGAATACTTGCGCAACATATTTAGTGTACTTAGTTTGTGAGGAAACATATATATATATATAATTATTATGTATGCGATATGCCGAAATCAATAACTTAATCGGATCGGCCGAAAAATCATTCGATCAATTTTTATCAGGTGTTCCAGGAATTATGAAAATAGCTGTAAATTAAATGTTAAAATTTTACTTCGATTTTTGAATTATAGTGATACTCGGCTTTTGTAAAATTTTTGTTATCTAGTTACAGCTATTTTCATAATTACTGGAACACCTGATAAAAATTGACTGAATGATGTTCTGGTCTATTGGGTTCAAAGTTTAATAATGCTGAATGTGTCATCAACATTTTAATGATTAAGTTGTGTAGAAAATTGATCATCTCTTATTATACGAATCACACAAACTTAATCGAATCGGCTAGGACATCATTCAGTCATTTTTATCAGTTGTTCAGGAATTTTGAAAATAGCTGCAAAGCTATTATCACAAATCCTAAAATAACTGCTGGATGATTTTTTGGCTAATTCAATTATTTAAATTGATATATGTAATTTAAGATCAGATAACTATTATAAAAATTATAAGACTATATGCGTATGTCTGGTTAAATACAGATAGAGTTCACAATGGGCCGGGTCAAACCTGGTAATTTGCGGGTTGGGCTCAGGCCCATAATAAGTTGAGCTTGGCCTGGGCTGGGCCGGGCCTGAGCTGGGCTCATAATTTATCGGGCCGGGTACGGGTTTAGGCAAACCCGGCCCAACCCGGCCCATTGCAAACCTAATACATACTAATATAAAATCCTTTAAGTAGCCTTTAAGTAGTTCAATCTCGTATTTAGATAACATTTAAGTCTAAAGTCTCAAATGTCATTGTCATTGGATATAAAATTTTTTCTTTTGTTCTTACTGATAATCCAAGTAACTCCATTAAACACCCGCACTTTTCTTGATGATGTTGGATGTGAAATAGTTCAATATCCTCCCGAAATTTTAGGACCAGTACCTCATCTAAAAGAATGCCTTTCCACTATCAATAGTTTAGTCGTTTATCCGGGTGATCCTAACTATTACGAATCCATTAAAACCTTCAATTGTCGATATTCCTACTTTCCCGTGGTGATAATATATGTTACTAATATTTTAGATATTCAATTATCAATTTATTGTGCAAATACTTTAAAAATTCCTGTTACTGCCAGATCTGGTGGTCACTCTTTTGAAGAATATGGAAATGGTGGAAGAAATGGTGTTATGGTGATTGATGTCAAAGAATTTAATCAAGTTTCTATTGATAAAGAAACTAATACCGCTATTATCGGTGCTGGAAATAGATTAATTCATATTTATAGAAAATTAAATCAAGCTGGATTTTTATTTCCAGCAGGAACCTGCCTTTTAGTTGGTATTGGTGGTTATGCTACTGGTGGTGTAAGTATTATATACAACTTATAAAATTATGTTATTTTAACTAATTTATCGTTATTGATTTATTGACCAATTAGGGTTACGGTTTCGTTGCGAGAAAGTACGGAATGTCTTCCGACAATGTTATTAGTGCCGAAATGGTTACAGCGAATGGTTCTTTTTTATCTTCTATCAACTCCACACACCATTCTGATCTATTTTTTGCGCTTCGAGGTGCTGGTAATGCCGGCTACGGCATAATAACCTCTTTTACCTTTAAAATTTATCCTATTCCACCAATAGTTACTGCAATTAATATCTCTTACGTTTCTGAACAAGTTGATTTGTTATTCATGTCAATTGCAAAAGTGGCTAAAAATCTTAGTGATAAATTAACTCCCGACATACGAATATTATCTGAAAATGATAGATTATATATTGGCTCATTTTATGGTGTATTTTTAGGATCTGCAGAAGAGGCAAAAAGTGCAGTCAATGAATTAATTGAATTAACAGAACCCGCTTTTACAAAATTTGTAGAATTGTCTTGGGAGGAAGCTGTTGAAAAATCTCCTAGATTTGAACGCCAGCCTTTTAAATCAACATCTTATGTTATCGCACCACCAGGTCTTTCTCGAGAAGGCCTGAAATTTTTAAGGAACTTTATTAATAATATTGAATGTACTACAAAAGCATTATTCTATTTAATGGGTGGTGCTATAAATAAATTTTCGGTAAATAGTTCTGCCTTTATGCACAGGGACTCTCTTTATATGTTACAAATGGCAATGCATTTAGAAGGTCATAACAAAGAAGTTCAAGATAAATGCTTTGAAAAACATTTGCAATTTAGTCAAGAGTTTCGGGCAAAATATGCTATTTATTTTAGCTATCAAAATTATATTGATAGAAACTTACAAAATTGGGAAACTAGATATTATGGCCATCATTTTCCTAGATTGGTTGAAACTAAAAGGAAATATGATCCTAATAACTTATTTAATTGGGCACAAAGTATTCCTATAAAATTCTCATAATGTTTAATTTTTCTTTTTGTCGTTAAATTCTAACAAATATAAAATAAATTAGAAATCACATAATTTGTCTAACTACCTACATACTGATACTAAAGCTAACAAGAAAAATGATTATTTAGATTTTATTTATATAATCAAAACATCAGTTACCAATTAAACGTCCTAATAGTCGATCATTGCAACTAGGGTACGGGACAGGCCGGGTCGGGTTTGTTTAAACCTACAGGTTCGAGGTAGAACCGTCCCAAATATGGAGACCGTCTAAAGCGTCAAAATTTCACTTTCACGTGAGGATCTACAGTGGCTTATCCAATAGCGAGCCTCGCTTTGATGTAACGTTACACAATCAGGAAGATCAAAACAAAACGTTCGCTTTTTCAAGAATCGTTTATTTCTCAAAAATTTACATAAGAAACGACCGTTTGCACTCTAACATCTTAAGCACTAACCTTAATTTGTGCGCCAAAACACTGTCTAAAGCCAGGTTCAAATCACAGGACACGAGGCTCGATCAGACGCCTCGGAAGATCGGACAGATCATTTTTGTGTAACCCCGACATTTCATTAAATGATATTTTTTTTTAAACCTTTGAACGAAAATATCTTAGCAACCATTTAAGCAAATCCTATGATTTTTTTTTATTTTACTTCTACAGACTTATAGAATTAAAATAAAAAAAATTCATCGGATTTACTTAGATGATTGCCGAGATATCTCCATTCAAAGTTTGAAATAGAAGCAAACATAATTGTTTTAAAACTTTTGAACTAAGATATCTCGGCAACCACCTAAGCAAATCCTATGAACTTTTTTAATTTACTTCTACAGACTTGTAGAATTAAAATAAAAAAAAATTCATCGGATTTACTTAGATGGTTGCTGAGATATCTTCATTCAAAGTTTAATAATAAACTAAGCCGCTTGAGAATACAATTGTTTTAAAATTTTTGAACGAAGATATCTTGGCAACCACCTAAGCAAATCCTATGAATCTTTTTTTATTTTACTTCTACAGACTTGTAGAATTAAAATAAAAAAAATTCATCGGATTTACTTAGATGATTGCCGAGATATCTTCATTCAAAGTTTGATAAAGAATTAAGCCGCCTGAGAAATAGAAGCAAAGATAAACGTTTCAAAACTTTGAACGAATATATCTTGGCAACCACTTAAGCAAATCCTATGAACTTTTTTTAAATTTACTTTTACAGACTTGTAGAATTAAAATAAAAAAAAATTCATCGGATTTGCTTAGATGGTTGCCGAGATATCTTCATTCAAAGTTTGATAAAGAATTAAGCCGCCTGAGAAATAGAAGCAAAGATAAACGTTTCAAAATTTTGAACGAATATATCTTGTCAACCACTTAAGCAAATTCTATGAATTTTTTTATAATTTACTTCTACAGACTTAAAAATTAAAATAAAAAAAAATTCATCAGATTTGCTTAGATGATTGCTGAGATATCTTTATTCAAAGTTTGATAAAGAATTAAGTTTTCTGAGAAATATAAGCAAAGATAAATGTTTCAAAACTTTGAACAAAGATATCTTGGCAACCACTTAAGCAAATCCTATAAACATTTTTTATTGTACTTCTATAAACTTGTAAAATTAATAAAAAAATTTATCAGATTTTTCTAAACAGCTGCCAAGATATCTCCATCCCAAAATTATAAATAATTTAATTTATATTAAATTAAAAATTCTAAAATCTTACTGTAAAAAATTTTATTATTAAATAGTTAAATATAATATTCATTAAAAAAAAGTATACAATTTTTTAAAAATTAATTATATTATTAGTTTAAATATAAAATTCAAAATATTTTTTATTTATCTTGCTGCTTTAAACTAATATTTCATTATTTTTATTTAATACAGACTTCAGATGCATACTCAATTCTTGAACAAATATATTTGTTTGTGTAAAAAAATTACCCTCTATTCAACTTGCCAATATCTATCACATATCCTTTTAATCAACTTATTTACAACTAAACAATAATTTTTTGTAGTTTTCTTAGCTTTAGCTTTTTGGTTTTTTTTTTATTTTAATTAATTCATAACATATATAAGTATCAAACCTAACCTCTTCAAACATTGGTTAAAATCTTAGCCATGCATCATTTGTTAACAATCTTGTAGAATCATATATGCGCTTGTGAAATATATGCCAATATAGGAACAAATATCAACAAAAAAAATAATTATAGTAAAGTAATATAAGACCTAAAGCAGCTTTTTTTTATTCTTCTTTCAACAATACAAAATTCATTGATTATTAATTGTTGTATAGAATATAAAAATTGATAAATTTTAAAAAGAATATTACTATCAATTCCAAATACTAAAATTTTTTAGTGTGAAATTCAAAGGCAATATACTTCAAGTTCAAATTTTTTTTTTATTAAGTTCAATAACTTTATAGTATAAATCTAAAGAATAGAAATAAAATAATAAGTCACTAATTGTACCAACAATTTAATAATTTTTTTATATATAATGTTCAAACCCAAGTTATAATTCTTATTTGATTTAATTAGAACCAACTCAAACCCAAGCATTATACTAATCAAACAACTCTAGTTCAGAATCAATTTTTATTCTAAGTCAAAAGTCTAAGTATCAATTCAGTTTTTAAAATCAATTATTGCTTAGAACTATAAATTATACAAATAAAATATTTTATTTTAATTAAAATAATACTTTTTATTAACAGATTTTTAAAACTCTTAAATACCAGTAATAAGATCATAACTATCTTTTTTGAGAAATTTATATGTATTAATCTATTTCTATAACCTTATATACTATTTGAATAGCTTTTTTTTGTCTTTTTACTTCAATTTTTTTATCATAAAATAATTATAAAATTGATCAAAATAATATTGAATATAAATAATAAAAACTATTAGATTTTGTTACCTAACCATATTACTAAAAGTATAAAGATAAATTTCAAATAAATTAAATATTATCTAATCTATAAAAGGATTTATTCAATCATATTGTCATAAGATATAGTAGAAAGAATCTTAGTAAAATTATTCAGAAATTGAAAAGTCTTTATTGAAATAAAAAAGAAGTTTTTAGAAAAAACTGTATTCTAAAAAGGAAAAGAAAAAAAGAAAAAAAGATTCAAATCTGGAACAGGAAAGAAAGAAGATCTGAATAGACTAATCAAGATTTAGAAGCAAAAAGATTAAAAGAAGACCTAAAATAGTTAAAAGAAGAGATAGTCTATAAAAGAATATTCCTAGAAAAGATGCTTAAAACAAGCTTTTTAGAAGAAAAAAGAGAATACAGAGCTATGAAATGAAAAAAAAAATATAAAGAAAAAAATTTTCGAGAGCTGGGTCTTTAATTGAAAAAAACAGAATAAATTAGAAAAAAAGAAAAAAAAAAATACAAATATGATTAAAAGAATTTTGGCAATAACCCTTTAGTAAAAGACAAAATAGAATTAGTTATTAGTATAGAATTAGATTTATATTAATATTTTAAAAAAAAGAATAGATTAAAAGAGAAAATTGTTAATTAAATATAGTTAAAAAATTTTTTTAAATTGAAACTATTCTCATAATCATTTCAACTCTTTCTAATGATCTTCTGAACAACGTAACAAAAAACTGAACTACAGAAAAATGCTATAAAAGGTTCAAGATATATACTATTCTCAGTCCTGTTTTTGAGTAAGCAGTTATCAACAAAAAAGTGGGTATAACTTGGGCAGTTTTTCTTGGGGTCAAGCTTTTTATTCAGTAAACTTCTCAAGATATTTGGCATTCAAACTAGAAGGTTTATTCTGAGAACTGAACTTATCTTTGAACAGGTTGTTGTTAACAAAGCTTGAAAGATATGAAATACTGAGAAGTGAGTATAACTTAAGTAGTTTTTCTTGAGGTTAAACTTTCTTGAATCTCAGTAAATTCTCTAGAATATTTGGCATCCAAACTAGAAGGTTTATTTTAGAAGCAAGAGTAGACTGGCCCTTGCTAAGATACTGTATAGCTCTGAAATTAAGCATCTCCCGAAATTAAGCACCACCAAATTTTGTAAAATATCCGAAAATAAGCACCCCCATGTTTTTATATTGGGTTTGCATTTCTGACATCGTATTAACAGATTTAATATATTTATTTATTTAAATTATTTAATTTCAACTAATTAAATTATACAACAATGTTATACAACTCGTAATTACAACAAATAAACTAATTATCGCTAATATCCATAATTTCAATATTGTCGCTAATGTCTATAATTTCATTATCATCACTAATATCCATCATTTCCATATCGTCGCTAATATTCATCATATCTATGAATTCATCGTCATCATCAATATCTATAATTTCATCGTCCTCATCAATGTATATAATTTCATCGTCCTCATCAATGTATATGATTTCATCGTCTTTACTAATATCTATGATTTCAATATTGTCATTCTTGTATTTATCGCCAGAATCCTCTAATCTGCCACTATCGGTATCATTATTTTCATTTAAATCATTTGAGATACCACATTTTATAAAAAATTTAATAATAACATCACCTGGTATTTGTTCCCAGGAATTTTTTACCCACTCACATACATCGCTTATTCTAGCGCGTCGAAGATTTCTAGCTGCAGTTTTTCCAGCACCGCCTTTTGCCATCCAAAGATGCCACTCTTTACGAAGATTGTCCTTAAACGGTTTATTAATCGCAACATCGAGTGGTTGACAAATGCTGGTCAAACCACTCGGAATAACTGCTAAATCAATACCACTGTTACGAAATTTCTCTTTAACTGAATCTTCTAAGTGTCCTTTAAAAGAATCATATACTATCATCGTTGGACCCTCACATTCATTATTAATTTGTGTGTCAGTAACATAATCAACATATTGTATCATAAGGTCGGAATTCATCCACCCATTATCTTGAAACCAAGCGATGATATCAGATAGAATTTTTTCGCCACGTGGTAATCGTTTATCTTTGAAAATGCAAATTGGAGGAAACTTTGTTCCATCTAAAAAAAAAAATACAATAAATACACCAAGAATATTATATAAAAAAAAAAAAAAAAAAATTTACCCACAGCACATGTTAGAACTACTGTAAATCGATTTTTATCATTGTTGGTTCCACGAATATGAATCGTTTTTTCACCTTTTTGATCAATAGTAAAGTTTCCAATCATGTCGAACCAGACAGGGGTCTCATCCATATTAAAAATGTTAGATAGTTTAAAAGATTTTCTTTTTCTAAGACAGATAACAAATTGATGAAATTTCTTCAATAATTCGTCGGTTTCTGAAGGAAGCTTTTGTGAAACCTTAGTACGTCACCGCCAAGATAGTTGATATCTTTTCATAAACACAGACATCCAACTATTTGATGTTTTAAAATCTTCCGTTGAATTGCTATAAAGAGTCATCATATCAGGTCCCTTTAAAATATTAAGCATCTCAATACGTGCAAGTTCGCAAGACACACCCAATCCTTGTTTTCTCTGTTCAGTAATCCAATTGTATAGTTTTTTTTCTGCCTTAGGATAAAGTTCCTTTCGACCAGAGCCAA